ATGATGATAAATGTTGCTGCTGCTGCGGCTGAGCCGACTGATGATGATCTTGTTCTTGAAAATAGGCCTCAATACAGGGTTTCATTTCAGCTCTGGGCAAAGCCACCGTTTGATAGTCACGATTCGACGTGGACGACGTGGGTGTGGTAGTCGAGTTAATTGAAGAATTTTTGGCAGCAGCATTTGATGCTGAGGAGGACATATGATGATATGGTAAATTATTTAAATCTCTTTCACGTTGACTGTTAGTATTCTGACTACTAGTAGCACTGTTGTTGTAGTGTCTTGTTGGCACAGCAGAAGCCGAGGAGTTGGTGGAGGACGTTGAGGCATGATGATTATTTGTTGTTGAATTTGCATTTGGTATTGTTTTGTGCTGATATGCAACATTTGCCAACGTGGCTAAATTATGAGCATATGTAGGAGATTTACGACCAGACGGCGCTGATTGTGTTGCTGCTCTCGGCGAGATGTCAGAGTAGTTGGGATTGCTAACATCATCAACCATTTTAACATGTACACGTTCGGGTCTTTGAGCATGATTATTAATAATCAAACGTTCTCTTTCACGTTCACGTTCGCGTTCACGTTCTTTTTCTCTTTCGCGTTCGCGTTCTCTGTCGTTAGAACGATCTCGTTCTCTATCATTATTGTAGAGGCTACGTTCGAAGAGATAAGGATTACGTTCTCCGGAAGCCGATCCCACAGTGGACATATTAACGGCAGCATTTATTATTGATTGATGGGTTATCTCCAGAGTTCTTTCTATCTCACCATTAACCAAATCGCCTATAGTTTTGGTGGAGGACATGGGTGGCAGAGAATTGCCGGACGTAGCCGCTGAGCCGGGTGGCACCTGATTAAGTTTCTCCTGTGACAAATGACGCCTTAAAGCCATTTTAGCGGGGGAGACTTGTGTATAGTCGGGTTGTGAGGAGTTTGAGCTGGGCCGGCTGGGTGGTTGTTGTTGTGGGTTAATGAGATGTTGTGCTGTATGATGTTGTGATATGGCCGATTCCCGACTACTGCTTCTTTCCAGAGACATTAGACGATCACGGGTGGGAGGATAATATTGCAAAGCCGAATCCGAATTGGCCGATGAGGAACGCACCGGAGGTGCTGGATCTTCCATTAACATTTCACGACTACTGGAACGTTGCTGTAAATGATTTTCCGCACTAAGCGGAGGCTGTTTGAATTCCAGTGATAGATTGTGGGGATTATGCTGAGTCATATTCATCATATGCTGCTGCTGTTGTTGCAGCTGATGTTCTCTTTCCCTTTCTCTCTGTTGACTGGCCATATATTGTTCATAATTAGCCGCTGATACCGAACTACGTCGTCTGTGCAAATTGTGTTCGGCTGCACCATAAATATTATTCAAATGTTGATTATGTGGATTATTGGCATTAACATTAAGAGACTGATGATATTTGGAGGATTTCGTTGACGAAGAGTTGCTAACCGCCCCTGAGGAAGACGTTGCAGAAGAGTTAAGAGGCTGCAGTAACATACCTTTGCTAGCACCATATTTTGGGAGCCCAAGACCAGCTGCACCAGCACCATGTGTGGCTGGCGGTTGTGGTGGTGGTAATGCAGGCGTTATGGGTGATATAGTGGTGGTAGCATTTAGATGAGTCATGCCATGGGTAGCAACATTTATAATACTGCTTAAAGAATTATGAGTATTTGACGAGGAGGAGGACGATCCTGCATTAAGATGCGAGTGTTTGCTACGTTTTGGTATGGGTGATTGCTGTGGCGAGGGAGAAACTTCAACTTGCACTTGATTAACCACCTGTTGGGCCTTGCGTTGCTCTTGATCTTCATTGAGGGCTGAGGTTATGATACTCTTAAGTCTATCTTCGAAATTGGCCACTTTGGGAGACTCTTGTATGCTAACAACGGGCACATTGTTGTTATTTGTTTTACGCATGCCGGGCAATTCACATTTGGGTAAAATGCCACTAGTCATTGCGTTGTTGCTGTTGTTAATGGGTCGTATTGAAGTGCCCGTATTCGAGGGTAACAGTAGATTGTTGTCCCTTTGTTTGGGAGCAGGCATTAAAGTACTAGGATCTGCTTGTCCAGCAGCTGCATAAACACCTATAGATGGTAAATGTTCATTACTACTTGAACGTTGCTGTGAATGCTGTAGATGATGCTGCGGCTGCTGTTGATGATGATGATGTGTTGCAGCGTGATGTTTATTTCTGTAGGGTTTATCTTCGGGATGATGAGGCGGAATATGTTGCTGTTGCATATGATGATGAGAATTTTGGTTAATTAGGTGGTGTTGCTGCTGCTGAGCTTGCAATTGCTGCAGCTGATGCTGATGATGTTGTTGATGATGATGATTGTTAGCTATGTTTTGTTGATGCTTAGACGAGGAGGAGTTAGTGGTCAACTTGCCTGCTTCTATTTTACGTCCGGTCTCCAAAATCTTTTGGGCCAATACCTCGGGATTGCTTTCTTCTATCTTACCCACATCTGGTACGTCCGGCCATTCCTGGGAACGTGTACGATGATCTCTACTACGACGCACTGATTTACTAGAAGTTTTCGTTACTGTTATAGAGGGTTGGATAGCAGTATTGGTATTATTCATATTATTTGGCACTAAAGAGGTAGTAGAACAGCTATTGTTTGCTGGAGTTACGGACAACGATGCTGAAGATGAAGTAGAAGCTCCCACTGAGGCCGAATGATTCGCCGTAGAAGGGGCATGATTTATGCTAATAGAATTCAAGTGATTGTGGTTGGTAGTAAGTTGTAAAGGTTGGTTAGGATTATTAATGCTATTGGGGTTGGCTGAACTATTGGCTAATATAATATTGGTGCCTTGGGCCATTAAAGCGGCAGCTGTTCTTCTTTCATCTACCGCCTTTTCCAAACTATTGGCCTCTTTTTCTATACTGGAGACTTGGGCCACTAGTTTCTTGCGTTGCGCCAAAGTATTAGCAATTTCCTTGAGCACCAATTCATGGGCCGAAGCTTCAGACAATTCAGAGCCTGCTAAATCATGCAATTTGGTTTTTCCATTGATGCCATACAATTTTTGGTATTCGGGCAGTTGCTGTAGATGTTTTTTCAGCAAACGTTTCTGTTCCATTTCGCAAGCGGTAACTTGTGATTGAATCTTCTTGGCTATACCTTGCAGCTCTTTATGACGTCCCACTATCTCCTTAGCTTTGGCTATAAGATCATTGGGCGAGGACACATTAATGCCCAGCTCATTCATACGTACTTTTAACAAGGCCACACTATCATCTATTAGCACTTTAATTTGTTTATCTAATTGGGAAGCTCGATTTTTTATGCGTTGTTTGCGTTCCTGTTCCAATTGTATTTGTCTTTTGATATTGGGTATAAAGGACTTGGATTTCATTTGATCTATCATAGCCATATACTGCGAACGAAAGACATCTAGCAGGATTTGCAAGGCATAGGGAGTGTCTTGCGGTGAAGTGGGTATTTCCAATTCGGTGTGATCCATGTTTTCAGTTAACAGTGAAGTTAATTGTTGATCTATGGTGCCTGGGGCGGGTGGTAACTTTTTGCTCATGGCTTCCACAGATGTAGAGAGTAAAGTTTCCTGATGCAACACATCCAAGCCGGCAATTTTGATATTCTTCCTTCCCCGAGCCCCCTTCTTTAAGCGACCCTTGCGTCCTTTGGCTGTAGCTGAACCACCACCTGTAGAATTGCCACCAAAATCTTCTTTGGAAGAATTATCTTTAGAGGCCTGAGCTGCTTCGGCTCTTTCTTTAGCGGCCGCTTCTCGTTGAGCTGCTGCAGCGGCACTTTTACTGGCTATGGCTGCTTTGCGCGTTAATTTCTTGCGTTTTTTCTGTGTTGTAGTACGCGCAGTGCGCGAAGTCGTTGTTATAAAATTGTTATTCTCCTCCTCGTCGGTTTGGGAACTTTTGCCTCCTTTGGAACTGCCCCAATCGGACCATACTTTTCGCGTTACGGTCGGGCCACCACTGCAATTGCTATTGCCGTTGGTGGTATTGGCTTCACCATCACTTTCTGTTGATGTATCCACTTCCATACTGCGTTGTTGTTGCTGCTGCTGTTGCTTCTGTTGTTCTTGTAGCTGCTGCTGTTGTTGTCTAGTTTTAGTAGTCGTTGTATTATTAACATGGGCAGCGGGAGAATTTGTACGTGCAGTATTCGAGTTGGAATTTTGGGAGTTTGTTAAAGCTTGATTATTGGCTTCACGTTTGGCACGATCTCGGGTAGTGCGTGTATTGCCACCTGTTAAAAAGAAAGCGAAGAAAACAACAAATGAAATAAGCAGCTTTAACATTAACAAAAAAAGAATAATTAATAATTTAGTACAACAATTTAGATTTAACAAAATCTAAACAAACATTTTAAATTAAAGCAAAAAATTAACAAAAAATAATTGTTAAAATTATAAAAAATAATGATCAAATGAGCATGTTAATGATGAAGCAGAGAGCGTTTGTTTTATTGTTAATTTTGTTATCAGAGAAGTCAGCTTATTTAGTATTATCTTGTACTCTTTTTTTCTTAGAAAGAGAGAGCTATTATTTTAATTATAAAGCCATGAATTTTGTTATTTTAATGCTGGGCTTTCTGATGCATATTTCTATGTTAGGAACGCTCTACAACCCACATTCTAGTTTCAAATTATGTTCTATAGCTGAGTGCTGTGTTTATTTTAGTTTGGAGGTTATTTGCAGGTTTAACTTACCCGCATGATGATCGTTTTCAGCACCTTTTTGAGTTTTGAGACGTTGGAAATAACGTTCTAGAATTGTGCGATCGATGACATGTAGATAATATGATACGGGTTTACAGGTCCAGGAAACTGAACCTTTTAACGGCGGTATCTCGCTGACATGCATAATCGTACCAATATCACTTAAATTTCTGTAATAAAAAGGAAAAGAAAACAAACAAACAAGTTATAGATTAAACAAGCTCTTCTTAAAAGTTGAATATTTCTTTAACTCACCTATCTGTTATTCTAAAGTTTAAAGGACAAAACGATTTAGACGATACTACTCTTGCACCATCACGCAAATCGGCAAAACGTTCTTTCAACTGATGATCCACATTCGGACCGAAGGCAAAATTATTTACAAATACCAACGATGAACTTGTTATCTTTTCACGATGTTCATCGACCAGAAAATCTCCCTTTAGCAGTTTGTATTCACAGTAACGTTTGCCAAACCATGCCATAAATTGACGAAAAAACATATCCATACGTTCGGCATAACGGGCGGGTGTATCGGCTTTTTCCACGCCGATACATGATTTTAGCGGAAATGAACCGGCCATTTGTAGAACAACTTGTCCTACACCCGAACCCAAATCAATGAATGTATCATCGTTGGTAACATTTACATGTTTTATCATTTGTTGTACCAATTCATAGGAGGTTTCACCATAAACCTCCGGTGAAAATGGTTCATAATTATTAAGTTTATCGGGATCGAGTACGGCAGCATTGTAAACTAATTGTAAAATGTGTCTTAAGAGGCTGGGATGAGCGAATTTATTTAGACGCTCAGCAGGCAGTGAGGTTCCTTTTTCCTAGAGAGAAATTAGAAAAGAAGAATGATATAAATGTAAGATTAGTATGGTGTTTTTTTAAGGAATTATAAAACATGAGATTCTATATAATAGAAAAAAGGAGATTTCTTTCTTAAAGACTTAAGTGTGGTCTATATATAGACTATAGCCTAGTCTATAGCCTGGATTGTAGTCTAGTCTTTATTCTGGACTATAGTCTAGTCAACAGTCTGGACTATATTCTAGTCTTTAGACTGGTATATATTATATTAGTCTAGTCTATAGTCTGGACTATAACCTAGTCTATAGTCTAGTCTACATTCTGGACTTTAGTATAGTCTTTAATCTGGACTTTAGTCTAGTTTATAGACTACTTTACAGTCTGCACTTTAGTTTATTCTATAGTCTGGACCATAGTTTACTTTATTGTCTGAACTATGGTTTACAACATCGTCTGGACTGTAGTCTACAGTTCGAAATATAGTTTAGTCTATAGGCTAGACTATAGTTTAGTCTATAGCTTGGACTACAGTTTATACTAGGGTTTAGGCTATAGTCTAGTGTATATCTCATCTACAGCCTAATGCATATTCTGGTCTGCAGTTTAGTCTATAATGTGGTCTTTAGTCTAGTCAAAATCTAGATTATAGTCTGAACTATAGTTAGTCTATAGTATTGTTATAGTCTAGTGTATAATCAGGACTTTAGACTAGACATTAGATTAGTCTGTAAATCTGTTGAACTAATAATATTGAAACAAATAAAAAAAAAAAAAACTTTATAAAAACTAACAATTGCAAACACTTACCAATGCAACAATACTATCCACGGCTTTATTGAAACGATCGACAAGATTTGTCATAGTCTTATAACAGGCAGTGTCTATATGATTAAGATTAATCTCTTCGAATGCCGATGAGATGCTTGGCAGTTCATCACAAACAAATTTAATGGTATCGATAATATCAATGCCATTATCGTGTCTATCTTGGCCGGTACCAACTTGAAGGGGCCACGAAAATGTTAAGACCTCGGATGAACCAGCTGGCGAACGCAACACCAAGTCTTTGACTTGAGGTGTTGCCATATTTTGTACAAAATAAAACCCGCTTTCTCTGCAAGTGGGTTATTTTCAAGATTAAGGAGTTTATTTTGAAGGCTCAGCCAGCCAGCTAGTTTTCACCAACTAGCAGCCCCAGGCTTTTGAGAGGAGATGAAGTTCTTAGCAGTGTTGAAATGTAAATGTTTGAAGAATTCTTTAAAAAGTGTAGAAAAGGGGTTGTAGTTTTGCAGTTAGCTGGTGGTAGATTTTGGTGTTAGTTTAGCAATGTTATTGATCTTTTGATTGTTCTCTTTTGCTGGTCTTTTTGGCTACTCTCTCTCTTTTTTGCTGCTTTTATGATGATTTGTTTTTGTTGTTTATCCTTTGGTGACGTAAAGTTGACGTGTGGTAGTTGGTGGTAGTTTTGACGTTTCTTAGATGTTAGTTTATTTATACAATGATGCCAGATTTATTCGGTGGGTGTTTATTGTAGTTTTTTTTTATAATTTTTTACTTTTGGGTTGTAAAGGCAGTTGTTTTTGTTTAGTTATTTTTTATTTTGATGATTTTTTTTTATTTATGATTAATGTGTTAAATAAAATTTAAATGGGGTAGCAAAAATAACACAATAAATTAGTGTAATATACATAAATAAATAAAATAATTCAGTTTTAACGTAATGGCAGGAGAAGGGTTTTAAAATGTTCCTTGTTTTTTTTTCTGGCGCTTTTTCTTAATTTTTTTCTTTTGATCAAAAAGCGTGTTTAAAAATTATTCGAAAAATTTAAATCTTAAGATTTAGAATTTTTCCTGATGTAGTTATGCTAAGTAGATTTATTAATTGATTGATAGTGAGTGTTAGAGAGAGTGTAATTTTTTATATTTTGGAATTTATTCAACGTTATAATTTAAACAGCGTTTGAGAGTTAAAAAATCCGTAACAAAAATTTAAATATATTATTAATAAACACTGCGTTTTAGTTACGTTTAAAATTGGCTTTTTTATTACGTTAGACGTTTGTTTATTTTCGTAATTACGTAAACAATTATAAGAAAATATAACAATAACTGATGATAATTGCGCAATTTTGTTCTTTTCAATTGTATGTTAAGATAACGATACATTTTCGTAAAAATACAACATTTTCATAAAGTTTTATTTCAAAAAACAAGGCTATTTTTCTTTTCTTTGTTTGTATTTTTTTCTTTTACGTTACGGTTTACGTTACGTTACATAACTCGTTTTAATGTTTTTCTTCTTTACGGCTTTAAATTGTATGAAATGTTGTGTTATAGATTCTTGAGATGCGTTTTATATAAATTTTTATTGAAATTTATTTTCACGTAAGCGCACAAGAGTCTGTAAAAGAAATAGAATGAGAAAAATGTTTAACATAAATTATAAATTAAGTTAAATTTTAATAAAAAAGAGAAACATATTTTATAAAAAATAAATGTAAACAAAATCTTAGTTAAAACATAAATTGAAAAAAATGAATAAAAGAAAATAAAAATTACTCTTTTAAAGTTAAATTCACTAAAATAGCTTAAAATAATGTAATATTTTTTTATTGAAACCATAAAGGAAATATTTCCATTAAAATGTATGTCCAGCGGGCAAATTTCTCTCTTAAGATAAATTTAATAGACATTTTTATATTAAGACACATTTTATGTTATGAAACTAATTTTCTATTCAAATTTGTGTCACGAGTCAAAAGTCTATAAAATGTGCGTTTTGCGATAAATTTTGTATAAGAGATACATTTTTATTAAAATGTTTGTCTTGACATAATTTCTAAACAAATTATGTTTTACGAAATTCATGTCAAGAGATAACATTTTATTAAAATGTTTGTCTTGACAGAAATTTTTAAATTAATGTATGTTATAAGACAAATTTATAGAAAAAATTATGTTTTAAGGGTAATTTCCTCTGAAATGTAGCCGTAACATAAATTTCTACGCAAATTTATGTTATGAGACAAATTTATGAAGATATGACATTTTGAGATAATTTTTTTTAAATAATAGTGTTTTAAGACAAATTTCTACACAAATTTATGTTATAAGACAAATTTGTACAGACATTTAAAAACAAATCTTTACAAATCCGACCACTAATAGAGAAAAAACTTAGATTTTCCTCTTAAACAATAAAAATTAATCCAATAAACTCATTACGCAAAGAATATAAGGAATTATCTTCGCTTATTTTTAATTCGCCAGTGACTTAGCAGACAAATCAAGTGAACTCATTATATTTTTTTTAATTTGACAATTATCTGTCTTCTTAAAGAACCAGCTAACTGTCAAATACCATTGGCACTACCTTATAATTAATATATACCTTGTTTTAGTCTGCAATGAATACGATATCATAATCAAGGCCAATTCGCCCTATTAACACTAATTTCTCTTTAGTAATGCCCAACTAGCGTTTAAAAAAAATGAGTAAGCTTTAAATCATTTTAACACTTATTGATTTCTAATACTATTTTACATAATATTTGACATTGTATTTATAAGTTTTATAAAAATATCTTTAATATAACTATTGTGCAATTAATTCATGGTCACGCAAATTAATATTACAGCATTTTTTTTTATTTAAACAAAAGCAGCAAAATAAATGTTACAAACGTTACTTACTAACAGAATATTTGCAAAAACAGCAAAAAAAAACTATATTTTAATGCAAATGCAATTATAGTTTATAAGTAAAAATAAGTATATTTAGAAAAAAAGCTATAGACAAGGTCAAGTTCTCAAGTGCTTTATAAATAAAAAAAGCTTATTAATATAAAGAAATACTATTTCAAACAATTTATTTATATAAAATTTAAGGAAATAATTATAATTTTTGATAATGAATTTTTCATTGTTAATAATTGGAGGACAAAATTTTGTTTAAAGATGAAAAAGTTTTGTATTGTGTGTAAAATCTTTGTCCCTAAGGCGAATTCATAAAAATTGATGTCATGAGATACAAAACTACTAGTGACTTTCAAATTGCGCGCAATAAAATTTCATAAAGAAAAAATAAACAGCTGTTTAAATGACTTGTATGAATTCTAATTTCAGTCAAAATTTATATAGTGAGAAATATTTTTCTATTAAAATCTGCATAATGAGACAAATTATTTTCTTTTCTAAAATTGGACATTTTGGGGAGGATTAAGTTAACGTAAATAATTGACACAAGGCGAAACGATTATAAGCGAATTGATTATTGATATTATTTTTGTTCCTTGTAAAACTCAATATAAAACAAATATCTCTCATAATTGACCCAATCAAACTCTATACTATATACGAAAAATATGGCGAATTGGCCGCACAGTTCAAAATTTGCTATCGACTTCATATAGATTCTTCTTTAACTTCACCCAGGAAAATTAATTTGAATTTGCTAGCTCAGTTCTAGTTCAGTTCTAGTTCAGTTCTAGTTCAGTTCTAGTTCAGTCTAGTACAGTTCTAGTTCAGTTCTAGTTCAGTTCTAGTTCAGTTCTAGTTCAGTTCTAGTTCAGTTCTAGTTCAGTTCTAGTTTCAGTTCTAGTTCAGTTCTAGTTCAGTTCTAGTCATCTAGTAGTTCTAGTTCAGTTCTAGTTCAGTTCTAGTTCAGTTCTAGTTCCAGTTTATAGTTCAGTTCTAGTTCAGTTCTAGTTCAGTTCTAGTTCAGTTCTAGTTCAGTTCTAGTTCAGTTCTAGTTCAGTTCTAGTTCAGTTTAGTTCAGTTCTAGTTCAGTTTCTAGTTCAGTTCTAGTTCAGTTCTAGTGTCAGTTCTAGTTTCAGTTCTAGTTCGTTCTAGTTCAGTTCTAGTTCAGTTTCTAGTTCAGTTCTAGTTCGTTCTAGTTCAGTGTCTAGTTCAGTTCTAGTTCAGTTTCTAGTTCAGTTCTAGTTCAGTTCTAGTTCAGTTCTAGTTCAGTTCTAGTTCAGTTCTAGTTCAGTTCTAGTTCAGTTCAGTTCTAGTTCAGTTCTAGTTCAGTTCTAGTTCAGTTCAGTTCTAGTTCAGTTCTAGTTCAGTTCTAGTTCAGTTCTAGTTCAGTTCTAGTTCAGTTCTAGTTCAGTTTAGTTCAGTTCTAGTTCAGTTCTAGTTCAGTTCTAGTTCAGTTCTAGTTCAGTTCTAGTTCAGTTCTAGTTCAGTTCTAGTTCAGTTCTAGAGTTCTAGTTCAGTTCTAGTTCAGTTCTAGTTCAGTTCTAGTTCAGTTCTAGTTCAGTTCTAGTTCAGTTCTAGTTCAGTTCTAGTTCAGTTCTAGTTCAGTTCTAGTTCAGTTCTAGTTCAGTTCTAGTTCAGTTCTAGTTTAGTTCGTTCAGTCAGTTCTAGTTCAGTTCTAGTTCAGTTCTAGTTCAGTTCTAGTTCAGTTCTAGTTCAGTTCTAGTTCAGTTCTAGTTCAGTTCTAGTTCAGTTCTAGTTCAGTTCTAGTTCAGTTCTAGTTCAGTTCTAGTTCAGTTCTAGTTCAGTTCTAGTTCAGTTCTAGTTCAGTTCTAGTTCAGTTCTAGTTCAGTTCTAGTTCAGTTCTAGTTCAGTTCTAGTTCAGTTCTAGTTCAGTTCTAGTTCTTAGTTCAGTTCTAGTTCAGTTCTAGTTCAGTTCTAGTTCAGTTCTAGTTCAGTTCTAGTTCAGTTCTAGTTCAGTTCTAGTTCAGTTCTAGTTCAGTTCTAGTTCAGTTCTAGTTCAGTTCTAGTTCAGTTCTAGTTCAGTTCTAGTTCAGTTCTAGTTCAGTTCTAGTTCAGTTCTAGTTCAGTTCTAGTTCAGTTCTAGTTCAGTTCTAGTTCAGTTCTAGTTCAGTTCTAGTTCAGTTCTAGTTCAGTTCTAGTTCAGTTCTAGTTCAGTTCTAGTTCAGTTCTAGTTCAGTTCTAGTTCAGTTCTAGTTCAGTTCTAGTTCAGTTCTAGTTCAGTTCTAGTTCAGTTCTAGTTCGGTTCTAGTTCAGTTCTAGTTCAGTTCTAGTTCAGTTCTAGTTCAGTTCTAGTTCAGTTCTAGTTCAGTTCTAGATCTGTTCTAGTTCAGTTCTAGTTCAGTTCTAATTCAGTTCCAATTCAGTTCTAGTAGAGTTCTAGTTAAATTCTAGTTTAGTTCTAGTTCAGTTCTATTTTAGTTCTAGCTCAGTTCTAGTTCAGTTCAGTTATAGTTCAGTTCTAGTTCAGTTCTAGTTCAGTTATTGTTCAGTTCTAGTTCAGTTCTAGTTCAGTTCAGTTCTAGTTTAGTTTACACTTTAAACAATGTTGCCAACTTAAAGTTTTATAATTCTAACAAAAACTAGCATTATTATTTTTTTACTCCCATTCATTTGTCAGACATTGAGATATTTTATTTATAAAAAACACATTATTATACATGTTTGTACTAATGTTTTGAACTCATTATGACAATCAGTTGAATAAAAGTAGAAAATATACTGCTTATAATGATTATACATATTTGCAGTACCATGTGCTTGTATTAAACTTTAATAATTAAAGTATCACAGTATTGTACTAATTTGTATTGTTTGCAATTGTAGGTATTTAGTTAGTATTTTTATAAATAAAAAATAAATTTGTCTGTTTGTATTGTTGTTGTTGCTGTGTGCTAGTTTTAATATTTCTACAATTTATGCTATACTATATTAAACTTTTATTTAGTTTTGCTTTGTTGTTTGTTTTTTCTTCTTGTTTTTATTTTTAAGTATTTATTTTAATATTCTTTTTTATTTTTTGCAATAAGCTTTATTGACCTTGACATAAAAACAATATGTATGAATAAAACAAATTCTTGCTTTTCAAACATACATAGTAACAAATTATTAATGAAATATACTATATAATTGTAAAATTAATAGAAAAAGTTTTTAGAGAATATAAATTAATAATTAAAATTTATAAAATTTTAATAACTTTAAACAATTGTGTAAACAATGAAAAACTGAGTGACAGCATTTTAAACTTTTATTTACATATCTTTAGCAAATTACAGTGACATTTAAGTAGAAAAGAGAAAGAGAGTGTGAGTGTGAGTGACATTGAAAGAGTAAAAGAGGAAATATATTTTTATATTAAGTGAGTGGGTGTGTAGGTGGTTTTGTAGAAAATCATGTTTATAAAATGAAAACAAAAATTGCCAATTAAAAAGAGAAAAAACAATAACAAAACTTTAATCACTCAAATATCAAGCAAAGGTCAATGACACTTATGACTTGTACAAGAATTTAACTTCAATTTGTTTTAGTTTTAAATATTTTAAAAGTAACTTAACCCAAATTAGCAAATACAATTTTAAAGAAAAGTACATTTCAACAATTTATGGAATTATTTAAACTTCTAATATCCTTTTGTATTAAGCTGACTAATTTTATTTTTAATTTGCTGATCAATCAATTAGG